GCCCCCCGGACCAGAGCCAGGGTAAGCCAAGTGTGAGATAGGAGAGCAAAGAGTTCCAGAGAAGACTGACCTGATAGATCTGAGGGTCTGTTTGGGAGACATTTTCTAAACCTTCTCTTGAAAGCAACGGGGAGCCTTTGAAGGCCATTGAGAAGGGGAGGGATATGTGAGTTTGTCCTGAATTCTCAGACATTTGGTTTCACGTGTGTGTGTGTGTGTGTGTGTGTGTGTGTGTGTGTGTGTGTGTGGTTTTGCTGTCGTCCGAGCTGAAGTGCAGTAGCATGATCTTGGTTCACTGCAACCTCCACCTCCCGTGTTTAGGCGATTCTCCTGTCTCAGCCTCCCAAGTAGCTGGGCTTACAGGCGCCCACCAGCCCACCCAGCTAGATTTTGTATTTTTAGTAGGGACGGGGTTTCAACCATGCTGGCCAGACTGGTCTCGAATTTCTGCCCTCAAGTGATCCACCCACCTCAGCCTCCCAAAGTGCTGGGATTGTAGGCGTGAGCCACTGGGCCCAGCCTGGTTTCACTTTTGAGAGCATATCTAAGTCCGTGATGCTTAGAATCGTTGTTAATTTTTCTTGGTCCTCTTTTAGTGTGGAGGGCAAAGCCAGCTGGAAACAGTCTCAGGGCTTGCAAAAAGACAGAGGTGAGAGAGTGCAGAAGGAGACATTCTCGGGAATCTGACCTTGCTGCCTGTCAGGAAGAGAGCCAGCCCTTTCTGTCTCTTGGGGAGGCTGTGCCCATCGCTTATTCACTTACTGAGTCCTGAGCTTTTTTTTATGAAGAAGAGAAAAATAATAGTTCAATAAGTGCTAACATGGCACTTACGGGACACCGCAGACACACACAAGAGCAGGGAGTGGGATCAGGGAGGCTTCCTAGACAAAATGGCACCTCGCTTGGATCTGATAACCACGTGCAGTGAAGCTTGGTGGCACCTAAACTCAACACAGACCAATTATTTCTGAAATAATAGCTTCCTAAAGCCTATGAAAGGCTACGTGTAATCAGTTCCAAACTGACAAGCCCAGCTCTCTGCCTAATCCTCTCTCAGTTATTCCACACGTTATCTGTGGAGCATCCATTACTTGACAGGGGCGGGCTAGGCTTGGGACACGCAGGTGAAAGAACAGACACTTCCCTTAGGTGCCATGGAGAAACCCAGGGTGGGGTAAGACGGTGTCGCCCGGACCATCTGGAAAGGGGCAAGATGGCTTTGATGACTGTCTATGCCAGGCAGAGGGCTTGGAACGGCCCAACAACATCTACCTTGTAATCAGAGAGGTATTCCTTTCCATGAAGAGATGGCTTCCCTTGTTGGCTGATGGCTGCTGCTGCTAATTCAATAGACAGTCTCAGACCTCCTTCTAGATGTAAAGCCCTGGAAGGGGTGGGTGATGAGACTTAATCCCCACTCTTGAGGGACATGACAAAATTGGGCATTTGTATAAGCTATGCCCTTTAGGAGGTGTTTTTACATATATTTCTTCACATCTGATTCTCATATCTTATTAATACTCTGTCGGGGATGTTGCCCTTTCGTTATGGAAACCACCACTCACAGTGGTCACCCGACTATTAAAGGGGTGGGCACAAGATTTTAAGCCAGATCTGTGCCCCTTCAGCAGCCAACCGTCTCTCCTCCTGAGGCTTACAGGCCCGTTTGTGGGTGAGGATGATACAAAGAAGCCCATAATACAGGCCTTTCCTGACTGATGTCTTCACTCTCCTCTCCTCTTCTTTAGAATGTTCCCCGGACTCCCTCCGCCGAGCTGGCGCACTCCTAACAGCAGCCGTCAGCGTGAGCACCCCTGACAGCCCAGGGATCCCGAGGCCGTGAGGACCACGAACCAGGCGCTGGGGTGGCGGAAGGGGCATGGAACCTGGGGTTTAGGCCGGAGGTGCCCATGTTGGGCGGCAGGAAGAGGCAGGGCGCACGGGTCTGTGGCGGTGCCCATGGGTGCTGTGGAGCGGGGTGACGGCCCTCAGGGTTCCGTGGCGCCATGGGCTGGATCTGAGACAGCGGGCACCGACCCCCTGGGAGGGGCCACACTTGTCCAGGGCGATGGCTCGTGTTAGGGAGTTCTCGGAAGCCACCCTAAAGGGCGAGAAGAGGCCCTAGCAAGTCCTGGCACCCCGGAGCTGCTGCTAGCGATGTGACTCGCCCCAGCGGTGGAGACCGTGCAGACCCCAAGCAGGGGCCATTCGCTGGGGGCCTCGCTCCGGGTCCAGCTCCACGCGGCACCATGAATAATAACTTCTGCAGGGCGCTGGTGGACCGGAGGCCCCTGGGCTCCCCCGGCTGCGTGCAGCTGGGCGTAGTGCCCCCTCCCCGGCAGGCGCCCCTGCCCCGCGCCGAGCCCCTGGGCAACGTGCCCTTCCTGCTGTACCCGGGGCCCGCCGAGCCGCCCTACTACGACGCCTACGCGGGGGTGTTCCCCTACGTGCCCTTCCCCGGAGCCTTCGGGGTCTACGATTATCCCTTCGAGCCCGCCTTCATCCAGAAGCGCAACGAGCGCGAGCGGCAGCGCGTCAAGTGCGTCAACGAGGGCTACGCGCGCCTCCGCGGCCACCTCCCCGGCGCCCTGGCCGAGAAGCGGCTCAGCAAGGTGGAGACGCTTCGCGCCGCCATCCGCTACATCAAGTACCTGCAGGAGCTGCTGAGCGCGGCCCCCGACGGCGCGCCGACCCCCGCCGCCCGCGGCCTCCCGGGCACCGGGCCCTGCCCGGCGCCGCCCGCCGCCCCCCAGTCCGACCGCCCCGGCGACGGCGAGGCCCGGGCGCCCCCCTCCCTGGTGCCGGAGTCATCCGAGTCCTCCTGCTTCTCCCCCTCGCCTTTCTTGGAGTCGGAGGAGTCCTGCCGCTGATCCGGCCTGTGGCCGCCCCCGGCTTAGGGGTTGATCCGCCCGCCCCGTCCCACTCTCGGGAGCAGCGGGGGGCTGCTGGGTCGCCCACGTGGCGACGCAAGCCGGTGACTGTAGGAGGCCCGCGGCGCTCCCGCGTCTGCGACACCCTCCCTCCTCCGCCAGCTTGGGGCGCAAGTGCGGGCAAGGGGTGCGAGGGGGCCGATGGAGTCCTGAGGGGCTCCGCGGGGGCAGCGAGGGGCGGGGCCTGGGACGGCTCCGGGCGCGCTGCGTTCCCTCCGGGGGGCAGGGGGCACCCCGGGACGGTCATCCCTGGGTCTGGCTCCCGCTCGGCCTCAGGTGGCTCTCGTCCGTCCTTCCTCGCCCCAGGCGCAGCCCAGTCTCTGCGAGTCCGCGGGAGGCGAGCCCGGCTTTGATCCCTCGGTTCTATGCCCTGCTCTCCACCAGATGGCCTCAAATACAAACGACTTCTTCGGCAGCGCGCTTGGCCCTTGAGAAAGGAACCCAGAGGAGGGGATGGGAGACCAGACTGCTGCCGGCGCTCAGCCCAGAGGGAACCCACAGACTTAGCAGAGGCGACCTGTGTGCCCTGGTGGCGTTCTCTGGCTTCCCTGGTGGGGGGCGATCATTCCCTCCCCGCCCCCGCAATGAGGTCGTCTGGTTTCGTCCCAGGCTGGGTGGGGACTGTGTGTTTTTTCCTCAGACTGTAAGCCTTGGGGGAGGGGGTGTGCATATGGATACATTGGCACTGTGTTGGCACCAAAGAGCTAAATAAAATGATTATCGAATTTTCTCATTCGTAGATCACGGTCTACCCTCACCCTTCCTGGTGCCCCTTTCCCATTCCCGCACCCAGTCCAGAGTACTTGCTGGGAGGGTATGTGGGGTGCGCTGTTAGCTCAGAGATTCAATGAACTTTTTTTTTTTTTTTTTTTTTTTTTTGGCCACAGGGTTTTGCTGTCTCACAGGCTGGATTGCAGTGATGTGATCCTTCCTCACTGCAACCTTTGCCTCCTGGGTTCAAGCGATTCTCCTGCCTCACCCTCCAGGGTAGCTGGGATTATAGGCGCACACCACCATGCCCACTAAATTTTGTATTTTTAGAGAGTCCAAGTTTCACCATGTTGGCCATGCTGGTCTCGTACTCCTGACCTCAGGTGATCTGCCCACCGTTGCTTCCCAAAGTGCTGGAATTACAGACATGAGCCACCTCCCCTGGCCTCAATGAACTTTTTGTCTCACTCTGTCACCCATGCTGGAGTGCAGCGGCCCAATCTTGGCTCACTGCAGCCTTAACCTCCTCGGCTCAACTGATCATCCCACCTTGGCCTCCCCAGTTAGCTGGGACTATAACACACACCACTGCACCCTGCTAATTTGTGTAAATTTTAGAGACAGAGTTTCATCACGTTGCCCTGGCTGGTCTCAAACTCCTGAGCTCAAGCTATCTGCCCACCTTGGCCTCCCAAAGTGTTGGGATTACAAGCGTGAGCCACCATGCCTGGCCTCAGTGAACACAGGGAGTGTCGTATATCTGCGGACTCTCCAGAGGAGGGGCCAGAGTCCCAGAGATGAAACACACAAGCTTTATACCTCTAGGGGTGGGAGGAAGTGGGGAAGAAAGATACACAGCAGATGCTCCCAATGAGGCAGGTGCTATGTCAGGTGCGCACGCTCTGGGCTGTCCTGGGAGCCTTCCAGCCCACTGGGGAGGCGTTTCCTGTTTCCCTGACATGGGATTGCTTGGGGGTTGGGTGAGGGTATGCTTGGGGAGTCTTGGCTGATGGTGCAGATACTGAGATGGGGGTGGGGGTGGGGCGGCGTGCTGTAGAACTGTCCTGACTTAGGCTGCCCAGCGCCTTCCAGACAATGTCATGCGCCTGAGGAGGAGGAAACCTAATTTTGGCATGAGGGGGCCACTCTGCAGTTGGAGGTTCCATAGCGAAGGCTACCCTTTCTTTACCTCTGTGGCCCCAGGCTTGAAACCTTCCATCCTGTCTCCTTCTTCCACCACCCCTGCCCCCTCCCACGCCTGTGCGTAGGTTCTTCCCCCACCCCCCGCCCTCCTCCAGGGACATATTGGGAAGTCACTGGCTGGGCTGGATGGAATGACAGCTGCCTGGCCTCGGGAGCTCAGGCCCGGCAGCAGGGAGCCGAGTGGAAGCTAATTTTACTTGCTGGGAGCCAGGAGAGTAATCCTCCTGCCCCCATTCCTGCCCCCGCCCCCCTGGCTGGCTCAGCAGGGCAGGCTGAGCCGACAGCCTCAGCCAGCCCAGTCCCCAAGGCGGGGGCATTGGGGACGCAGGGAAGAGAAGGCACTGGGGTGAGGGAGCAGGAGAAAGCCAGGTTACCAGGGGAGCCATGGAGCCGTCCTCACCCCAGGATGAAGGCCTGAGAAAGAAACAGCCCAAGAAGCCAGCTCCTGAGATTCTGCCAAGGCCACCCCGGGCCTTGTTCTGCCTGACCCTGCAGAACCCCCTGAGGAAGGCCTGCATCAGCATCGTGGAATGGAAGTATCCTTCGGGGTCCGGGCCGCAGGGAGGTATGTGGGGCGGTCACAGAGCACACACTTTCTACAGGAGTGCCAGGGAGACCCGGAACTTAGATATGGGGTGAACCCACAGAATGGAGTGAGGAGCCTGGGAAGGAGCCCTCGGCTTAGCAGGAGAGGAGGAGGAAGAGGAGGACTTGGTGGGGCTTCCCGGACCTTAGTGGGCCTCCCAAGTCCTGTGTGACAACCAGAGATGCCTACTGACCACCTATGGGTGGGGCCTGTTTCATGGGGAGTGTTCCCAGGTGTGCCCAAATCCACATCACCATGAGGTGTCACCAGGCTTTTGAAGCACCAGCCTCATTTTGGAGTAGGATAGGGCCCAAAAACGACGCGATGACCTCTTTGAGATAACTCCCCCTTGACTGGGTTCGGTGACAGTGGAGAGGTCAGTTGAGGGAAGGCTTCCTCTGGGGGTGCATCCCAGCTGAGGACAGAGCCACGGGCAGAAGGGTCCACAAGACACCTGTGCTGAGTGGCTCCAAGGGGCAGGCCAAGCAAGCCTGGCTGTTCTAGCTCAGACAGGCCACCCTGGGGACAGGGACTTCGGATCCCATGCTGCGTTTTCCTCTGCTCTGGGAGGAAGAATGATGACAATATCTGGGTTATTTGGGGAAGGGAGGAAGGAGTGGCCGAGAGAGGGAGAGGCCTGTTTCAAGTGGGTTCTGAGAGCGAGGGTCGGCATATCTGAAATATTTCTGAGTTCTGGAAGGCTGGCCACCCACCAGCTGTTCCCTAGAAGGAAAGAGAATGAGGGATAACTGGAAGGACATGGGAAACGTGGGGCAAGTGGAGAACAGTTTGGGGTCAGGGTCAGCCCCGCTCCCCTCACCTGCTCTCAGCCAGGTCAGTGGCTTGCCCGCATCACACCCTCCTGGGCCCGCCTCCCCTGCCTCTCTTCTGCAATCGGCTTTACCCTATGGGTTCTCCCTCTCCTCCACCCTCCGCTCCGCTGAGCCTTCCCCTCTCATAGCACCCTGTGGCCCGCCTCTTTTCTCAAACATTGGAGGTTACTGAGAAGAGAATGGGTTTTTTCCTTCAAGCTCATCTACATAATATGCCTCCCCATTCGCCCCTGACAACCCCCTCCCTTCCTCCCTTGCTTCATCTAGTTCTTTTCACACTTGTCATCTAATGGGTCAGAAAGTTAAGAAAGCCATGGGCCTGGGGTGCCCTCTGGAAATGGCTGTGGCGGGGTAGGTGTGTCTGGGAGGGGTGAGGTGTGACGGATGTGAGCACACCAGCAGGGGCGCGTGGCTCCGGAAATTCAGCTTTCATCTCCCCATCCCTCGTTCCCAGTCCTGCTGAGTGAGTTCTCAGCCTTACCCTACATCAACCCTTACCCTCCCGTGCCACTTCTCCGGGTGAGCCCCTACAGATTGGCCAAAATCTGGGAAAGTCATAGCTCCTTGGGAACAGAAGGGTGTGGGCAGGCACTGAGAGTGGCGTGGTGTGAAGACCCCCTAGGCCTTCAAGCTGAGGAGCCCTCAGCCAGGTACCAGGCCTTTGCCAGTCCAAGGCATCTACATGGAAGTGACTTGCTCCTGAGGAGGGGGAGCCAGATGTGAAGGCGGGAACCTGGTCCTTGCTGTGCCCTGCCAGGGGCTGAGGGAAGAAGCAGCGTGGACGAGTGTCCAAGAAAGAGCCTGTCCACCAGCCTGGCATCAGAGTCACAGTCCAGACTGACCCTCAGCTCCTTCTTCCCCTTAACCCTGTAAGTCCCATGCCTCACTCAAGGGCTCTCCTTAACCCTGGCTCCAGGCCCTTCGAGACGATCATCTTGCTCACCATCTTTGCCAACTGTGTGGCCCTGGCCGTATACCTGCCCATGCCCGAAGATGATAACAACTCTCTGAACCTCGGCCTGGTAAGACTGGCTCGGGGAGGCCCCCCTGGTGGACTCTGTTCTGGGGGACGGTGCTGTGGTTGACCATCCCGAGGAAGCAGGCCCCGAGTCCACAGTCGCCTGCAGGGCTGGCTGGGTGGCTCAACAGGTTTCAAGGATCAATCTGCTTATTCCTGATTCTGCGATATTGTCAGGCAGCGCTGAGCACGCGCTCACTGATCCCAGCCACTGTGCTAACACCTTATGAGAGTAAACTCATTTAATCCTCATAACCGCCTCAAAAAGTGGCTCCATTTGGCAGATGTGGAAACTGAGGCTTTGCAAGGTCAGCTGGTGAGCCACAGAGGTTGAACGCTAATTTCCCTTGTCCAGATGTAATTCAGAAGAAACTTGTGTCCATTGAATTTGCCTTCATGGGAGAGTTTTATTCAGGAATCTGAAGCAAAATATCTTTTAGAGTTTTATGATATTATTTTGTCTTTGCCCCTTCATCAGCAACACATGCCTGGAACCATAAAATGCCAGGGCTGGAAGGAACATTCAAATATTAGGTTGCCCTACCTCCTTTCCACCTCATTCTGTTTTATGAATGAGAAAACTGAGACCTAGAGAGGTTCAGGGACTTACTTACCCCATAGCCAATTAATAATAAAAGCGGTTAGTGTTTAGTAAGTGCTTATTAAATGCTGGGATTTGTGATAAATATTTTACATTATTGTATTATATAATCTCCACAACTGCTCCTGTGGGGTAAGTAACGTTATTAGACCCATTTAAAAGACAAGGAGACTGATGTTGAGAGAGTTTAGGTACATTGCCCAGGGCCACTCCACATCTAAGTCTCATGGCAGGGCCTCCAGCTTCATCTCTCTGCTTTTTTTTTCTTTTTTAATTGCATTTTAGGTTTTGGGGTACATGTGAAGAACACGCAAGATTGTTGCATAGGTACACACGTGGCAGTGTGGTTTGCTGCCTTCCTTCCCCTCAGCTGTATCTGGCATTTCTCCCTGTGCTATCTCTCCCCAGCTCCCCACGCTCCCCTTTTTTTTCTTTTTTTGAGACAGAGTCTCACTCTGCTGCCCAGGCTGGAGTGCAGCGGTGTGATCTCGGCTCACTGCAACCTCCGCCTCCCAGGTTCAAGGGATTCTCCTGCCTGAGCCTCCCAAGTAGCTGGGATTAGAGGTGACCACCACCAAGCCCGGCTAATTTTCGTATCTTTACTAGAGATGGGATTTCGCCATGTTGGCCAGGCTAGTCTCGAACTCCTGGCTTCAGGTGATCTGACTGCCTCAGCCTCCCCAAGTGCTGCGATTATAGGCATGAGCCACCGCACCTGTCGAGAACCTGCTATTGTACAGGCTGTGTTGCCAAGGCGGTGGGTGATGGCAGAAAGACTCCTAGGGGAAGCCCTCTTAGAAACAATGGCCTCGGGCTCCCTTGGGGACAGGACAATGGAGCCACCTATTCAACAGGGCTTTTTTCTGCACTGAAACTGCAGGGGCCTTGAGGGAGGAGGCATGTTAGTTAGCACGTGTCCAGGGCCCAATGCGTCTCTGTATTTTCTTTATGCTGGTTTCCATGGGACTCTATCTTGAGTTGATGGGAAGCTGGGATTCTAATGCATGCGTGCTATGAGGGGAAAACACTCTGAGCTCCCAAGTGTGGAAGGAGAGTGGGATTAAATGTTGGCAGAATCAGTGCTGCCTTTGCCAGCAAGGAAGACATTTCTTTTTCTTTCTTTCTTTTTTTTTTTTTTTTGAAACAATCTTGCACTGTCATCCAGGCTGGAGTACAATAGCGCGATCCTGGCTCACTGCACCCTCCGCCTCCCGGGTTCAAGCAATTTTCCTGCCTCAGCCTCCCAAGTAGCTGGGATTACAGGCGCCCCACCATGCTCAGCTAATTTTTTGTAGTTCTATTAGAGAAGGGGTTTGACTATGTTGGCCAGGCTGGTCTGGAACTCCTGACCTCAGAATCCACCTGCCTTGGCCTCCCAAAGTGCTGGGATTATAGGTGTGAGCCACTGTGCCCAGCCGGAAGGCATTTCTTAGAGTCTGGGCATTCTACACCATGGACTTGGTTCTCTGTGTCCCTGAATGCAGGGAGAAGAGCTCTGGGTCTACCCCACCCTTCAAGATTTCATATATTTGGGCCTCAGTTCCTTACGACATTGACTACTTTTGCAACAAACTCTGCCCCACCTTGGAGGATATTAAATTATACCATTGCTGGATGCAGTGACTCACGCTGTAATCCCAGCAATTTGAGAGGCTGAGATGTGAGGATCGCTTGAGCCCTGGAGTTGGAGACCAGCTTGGGCAGCATAGAGAGACTCCTGTCTAAATTAGCAGGGCCTGGTGACACAAACCTGTAGTCCCATCTACTTGGGAGGCTGGAGTGGGAGGATTGCTTGAGCCTGGGAGGTCGAGGCTGCAGTGAGCAGAGATCATGCCACTGCACTCCAGCCTGAGCAACAAAGTGAGACCCTGTCTCAAAAAAAAAAAAAAAAAATTACATCTTAGTGGTTGTGTCATCTTCCATCTTGAAGCAAAATGGCTGCCTTAACTGGTTCATGTGGTCCTGTGTGTGTTTTTCTTTAGTTTGTGGGCTGGAGTTGCAAAACCTTGGGTCAGGGCTAGAGTTCACAGAGACAGGATTATGAGTTCCTTGGAAGAGGGAAACCTAATCAGAAATGTTTCCAAAGCAGCAAATGTCACCTGGCATGTCAGAGCTCTATGGGAAATGAATGTTCAGTGAGGCCTCCTAATCTGACCCCTTCACTGTGAAGTCCGTAGGAAGTTGGTGATACCCAAGCTCACGCAGCCAGCTTTGAGCTCAGGCCTCCTCACTGTTCATGCCCACAAAACCCAGCAAGGGGGAGATGAGAGGAGCCAGAGGAGGGAGGGCAGGAGGTACCGTCTCTCTCTTACCCTATTGGCTGCTTTGTAAGTGTCGGAGAAGGATTAGGGTCTTTCCAGTCATCCAGAATAACCCATAGCTTTCAAGAAAGGAGGCCTAATGATTCATTATTAATGAACTTTCTCATTCATTTAACGAATGTTTCTTTAGTGCTTCTCATAGCCCTGGCACACACTGGGGATACCACTGTGAACCAGATAGACAGAGTTTCCATCTTCACAGAGCTTAAGTACATGGATTAAACAAGGAAATATAATAAAACCGATTAAACAAGTAGTTAAAATGCAATGGGAAAAGTTCAAGGCTTGGGAACATTATAGTGGCGTATTGGCAGAGAAACGAAACTAGTCTCGGCATCAGAAAGGCTTCTCAGAGGACGGGATGTTTAACCTGAGACCTAAAGGTCAACGACAGGGCCGGCTCACGCAGGTGCCACCTATGCAGTCCCAGGACCTGTACTCGGAAGGGCCCCGCATTTGGGTTTGAATGCTCTGTGGCCAAAGTATAAAATTGTAATTAAGTTTATTTTTGAATTTATGATTTGTAAGTGAAGTCCACTGGGAAAATGGCACGTGAACCTCAAGCTTGGAGCCTTGGCTTACGAGAGGTCCTGCCTTCTGCCATCTCCTGCCTCTAAGGAGGGGCTCTCAGCTTGATGTTTTGACCTCTGGGAGTCCTGGGCCACTTGGCAGAGGCCTGAGTGGGAGGACGGGAAGGGTCGTGTCTCAGGAAAGGACAGTGTCTCAGAGAAGGACATGTCTCTGGTTGTCTCTACCCTGGGCTGACGTGCTGCAGTAAATGACCCTATGAGGTTGAGCCTCTAAGGCCCATCCCCATTCTGGGTACTTAGTGTCTCCCAGGAAGCAGAGATTGCAACACCCTTGGGTGCCAAATGTCCACTATGGGCTGAGGCGGTGGGTCTGAGTGAAGGGGAGATGCCTGGCTCCACACCTCCCCTTCCGGCCAGGGCACAGGATGTCGGGTGGCGGGATGGTGAGGGGGGAGGGGGCAGATTGGGAGGAGGTGCCCGTGACAGTCTGCGCTTGCCCTGCACAACACTGAACAGTAATCAAAAGACACCCTGGTAGGCGGAGAAAGGGGCTGAAAGAAAGGAAAAGCTTTACATTTAGTGCCTTCACCAGCACTTATTTCCTACTGTTTGAACACGAAGGGCCACATTTTCACTCATACTGGGTCCCCCCCTTATGTGGCCTGGCTGTGAGGGAGCACGTTGTTGGAGGCCAAGCAGGAGAGGGGACTCTGGGCAGAGGAAGCCACATGGGCAAAGGGCTGGAGGCAAGAGACGGAGAGGTCAGGTGGGGATTTAGAAAAGTCTCTCAGGCCCCATGTAGGGCATGGATTGGGGTGATGTGGGGTGGGATGGGAAGTAGGGGACAGGGCAGGGAGCCCAGGGAAGTCATCCAAGCAGAAAACGGTGCGGGGGGGGAGGGCTGGGCCGATGTAAAGATGGCGATGGTAAAGATGGCTGCCAGGTGGCTGTGAGACCTGCCAGGTGGAATTCATGGTGAGGACTGGATGCGGGGATGCAAGTGTGGGGGCCGGGCAAGGGTGACACGGGTGTCAGAAGGGGACAGAGCACATGGCAGCGCCACCTACCAAGACTGCAGGTGGGGTGGGGAGGAGGGATGTGGTGAGTTCGGCTTTAGACATGTGGAGATACAGGTGCCTGTGTCCTCTGAAGGGTAACTGGATTTGCAGGTCTGAGCGTTTTATGACAGGGGTTTCCTCACTTTGGTACATTCCAGACTGGCTGGGGCGGGGATGGTTACGGGCAAGAAAGGCTCCCTGAAAAGGGTCTGGAAATGGTTGCTGTCTGTGGGAATGGGCTCCCCTGGGAGTGTCTCCCATATCCCTCTGCCAGCGCTGGCTGAGGGTAATAGACATGGATGAGTTTCCTGGGGCTGAGGCACCCTCTGAGTCTGTCTGCCCTGTGTCAGTGGGAAAACCCAGGATCCTCTCTGAACGGAAAAGGAAACTGAGGCCCAGAGTGAGCAAAGAGTCCTGGGAATATGCAGCAGGCCAGAGGGTGGCCAGAGAAGGACGCAGGATGCTGACGTCCTGGCCACTTGTGGGATGTCACA